ATAAATTTACATTGTTTAAATGGGAGAATTCGCAACTTTACCACGTAATATAAAAAAACCTGGGCCATATTTTGAAAATCTGAAAAGAGTTGGCTTATCTAGAGGCAATTGCCCGTCGATCGCCGCAAAAATCATGAAAATCGGCCCGGTAGAACGCTGGAACTAAGCGTCACCAGTTTCGCAAAATTAGGAGGTCTTGGAGCTTATAGTATAGATTGAATGTTGATCCATGCCTTTCAGACCGAATTTTCCTGATCCTTGATCTTTAGTTTTGGGATAGTCAGCCGATCCATGGCGTTCAAACTGGCAACGCTGGAAAAGCTAGTTTTCCAGAGAAACGCACAATTTTACTGGAAAAGAAAGCTTACAGAAAGCTACGACAGTAGACAATTGATTTGATTTACAGGAGCATATATTTCAGCTCGAATTGTGATTTTGTAACTGCATCAAGACGTTGTGCGATCTGAGGACGCAGTCAAAGCTCGAAGGGGGGGGGGGGACAATAAAACAAGAGAGGACAGAGTGATACAGGGTGATTCAAAAATCCCATATCAGGCATCACCCTTATAACTTTTGGACAAATTGAGATAAAGAATTGTTAATTTTGCGTGTGCTCCTAGGTCAAAGGGAACGTTTTTTCGGATTTCCTAGAATTTCAAAGGAACCATCCTGAAAAGAGACTAGAGCCTGAGGGGTTGCAGCGGTGGTGCGGAACTTTGGGGACACCCTGCATAGTGATTGTAGAAAAGTTGTATAACAGTTGACTGTTACATGAAATTGGATAGCACCTAGATGATCTATTGCGTGTCATGGAACATCGTTTATTCCGCGAACGGAAAATGCAATTGCAAGGACCAAAGAGAACGAAAACATTAGATAATGCATAAATTCGAGGGAAACGGGGAAAATGCCACCTCAACACGGAGGGAACTTCGTCATTTTTTATTTCATCGAGTACCTGAAAACTGCATATAATTTCATCTTGTTGGTAGTTCAGGAATTTTCGGAAAGGCTCATACGTAAACGTTGCGTCATTTTCTCGCAAAAAGTGCAAAATGACCCAACCTATTTCATAGAAGGATCTGAGGTGAGGCGTATGTATGAATTTACTTCAACACGATCAAAGTTGCTCGATATTCTATCGATGGAAGTAAATAACTGGACATATTTATGCTATGAAAGGAGCTGTGTTGCTCTCAAATACTGTGCACAAAGTTCCTTTTTGCATAAATACGTCCAAATAAGAGGCCTAGGGCACAAGGTGCATAAGTGCAGTTTTCAAGGAATGCGTGTTTAAAGTTTCTGTGTAAAAATTGAAGCCTCATGGTGGAAAGAGATTTTGAACTCACTTCTTGATTATAAAAAATTGGATGTTAGAGTCTAATTTTTTCCAGTATTTACTTTAAGACTAGTTTTAATGAAAGCATTGACATCTCACTTTTTTCAAAAACTGCACTTATGCGCTTTGACCTACCAAACCGCTCAAAATGTCCACCGACTAAACTTCAAAGCAATCCCTGCAACCAGTAGTGTATGCAAAATTGTTACTCCAGAGCAGGGTTACCTCGTAATCAGGAGTTGAGGAACATTTTTAATGAGTTTGTCAGAAATCGACCGCAGTATTTAATTGTTAATAGTTACAATTTGTATTTAAATGTTTAAGAAAAATTATGAATTTTGTTTCAGGATGTGGGAAGGACAATGCTAGATCGGTTAGTTGCGTTGCAGCTACTACTATGCTATTGGTTAGCTACTGTATTACCGCCTCCCAGTATTTTTGGTTACGCAAGCACACTCAGTCCCGACCAAAGTTACAACCTCCACCAAAGTCTCGCCAAAGGTATGTATCTTCATCGAATTTAGAATACTTCTAATCATGAAGAATAAGATCGCTAAAATTTAAAAACCCAAAACTTTCTTTACTTAATTTTCAGCCCTCATCAGATGTGGGACAGAAATTAAATGAGAAAAGTATTGATCTTTTAAATTTTGGCAATTTTATTCTTAATTTAAGTGTAATTTTCTTTGTTTTTCAGCCTTATTTTCATTATAATTTTAACTTCTAATAACTTTTGTACCGGGATATATCGTTTTCAATAAGTGTGACAGTATTGACAGTTCCCCAAACACAGTGCGTCAAGGTTCACTAAGGCATTCCTGCCCGACCTAACGCTATATCCCTGGAAAAAACGGGTTTTTTCATAAATAAGTCCATACTGCGCCGACCTTTGTTTACTTTTCTTCAATAAAGTGACGCAAGAGTTTTTAGAACAAAAGAAAAAAAATTACTTAAAAAACAATCGCTGCCCATTTTAGCTCGATTTTCTATTTGCATATCTAAAAGTTTACGAGTTCAGGAGGAAAAATATATCAGAGCATTTGTCAACCGCTAAAAAGGCTTAAAATTTTCATAGAAAATTTATCTAACTGAGCATTCAAATGTCTTTCATCGTCTCACACATGTCTTGTATAGTCAACATGTATCCAGATCGACGAGAGAAAAACCCCTGAAAATATTCTTCGCTCAGCAGCAGGGGGCAATTTACATCTACATCGGAACTTATTTGCATGTTTTATCGCCTTTCGTTGGGGGAGTAACATATAAGGGTGAGCTTTAAGAACACATATACTTTGTGCCTACGAATAAGAAAACAGTAACAATTTAAGCATAGAGAAACGTGTAGGCAGTGAGAGAGCTCCTTCTTCTTTCGAAAAGAAACTTTGGATTTGATAAAAAGAGAATACGGTTCATCTCATTGCGGGAGCTTTCGTTTCATACTTGATGGGATATGTTTCAAATCCTCGTGGAGGGATTCGAGGACGCTCCTTTGCCAAAACTTTTGACGTGAAGGGATTTGTCTTTCGCGAACTCAATTCGAAAGAACGGTAGCAAAAAGTGGAGTTCGTCGAGAAGGAAAAAATTTGGTTGATTGAAACGATCCTCGGTCGAAGTGCCTTTGCAGCAAAGGTTTTCATTTCACATAAGCGATGAACAGTTTCAATCTATTTACGATGAAAACTTTGTGTAGATAGACTGCGTTGCATAAAAATTTCCCAATCAGTATGCTACGCTGAAAAACTCGTTTATTTTACGACTTGATATTTCCTGTGTAGTCTGTTTAATGCGGATGTGGAAAATTTTTAAAATTTTTCTCCATTTCCTCAACAACCTTAGAAATAGGGCGGGATAGTATACTTACTGCAGGATCACACCTATCTAGACATGCAAAAGACTACGTCGCAAGTTTTAAGCCTCAGAGGTATCAGTCATAATAGAAGAGTGAATTTGGTCTGTTTTGAATTTTTTGACTGTTTTTCTCATGAAGAACACAAAAGAAAAATAACACATAATCATCATACACAAGACTGGAGAGTGTAACTGCACTTAAATATTGCAGTGAATTGGGTCGAACAATTCAATTTTTTTACAAAAATATGTACAAAAATTTGCAATCTGTATCCTAAGTGTAGCTGATTTCCACGTATAATTAGGTATACATATAATTGAATCGCATGTATCAGGAGGGAACCAAGCCACATCAGCTATTGTCATATTTAACAAGGAAATTTAATTTTATACATGAGAACTTTGTGCGGATTCCTTTGAAAATTATAAGGAATTTGCTTCTTACGATGCAACAAATTCACTGAATTTTGCAGAAAATCCACAAAACCGTTTTCGCGTAAAGTATTAAATCGCCTAGTTAAATTTGGCAATAGTTATGTGGCTTAGTTCCTTTCCACTTAACCCGGTCCAATTCAGAAAAATTTTCAGTATGAGAGGACCGATAGTTTCCTCTTAAAAATTGTGGCAACGCCAACAAGGAATTACGTTTTTCTCTGAAAAAAGGAAGATAATTCGCACAATCCGACATTTGAAGCTCGTGTTTTGCGAACCGGATCCACTCGTGAATTTCCTGAAATTCCCATGATTTTAAAACGCGGCGCTCTGGAGCTCGACCCGGGCAAAAAAGTCATTTTGCGACAGGACTACTGACTAGTCTAATCACCATTACCCCGCCACTCGCTCTGGAAGTCGGGCGCGCTAAAATCGCAGCAATAGAGGAAAGTGACTTTTTGTGTTTCCCCATAAAAATGTTTCGGGCCCTAATCTTCATCTTGCGTGCGCGTAGCACGTAGCATCTCTATCTTAGGCTTTTTATGGATGACCTTCATGCAGATCCGACTACAAAGTGGGCTCGTGAAGTTAGGAAAAAATCGTGCTGACGTTGCAAGTGAAATGCAGCGTGAGATCTGATCATCCTCAGTCCGAGTTTAAATGAGGCTGAAAATTCCTCGATCTCTTCTTCTCTTTGGTTCTTCAAACGCTTAAGTCTGAAAAAAGAACATAATGAAGGTAGATTGTTTTCCCGGACTGGCAATGTTTAAAATTATCTGATGAAACTAGACACAACAGCACCTGCGCTATTTTCCTTATGCCGTTTTCCTCTAACTAGGAATTCAAAACGGAACTACACGGCTTGAATTTTCTTTTTGACAAGGAAATTTCGATAATTATCATGAAAATGCCGGGAGCTGAGGAACCCACAAGAAATGACGGAGATTCTGTGAACTCTAAAGCTCGGGCTAAAGAGTTTCCACAATTTTAAAATTAAGTTTCTTCCATTTCTGGACGTATTGAGGTCTCAATAAAAATAATGAGGTCATTACGAAGAAATGAGTTTTGTCCTGGAGAGAACTATACATACAATTGGTTTAAATCGAAAGGAACTATGAAGAATAGAAATCTCATGCGTCCAGTTGCATTTGATTTACTGAATGTTGAGTTTTGAGTTAGTATGTCATTTGCTTCATTTTTTTTGACGAGTAAAGAAGCGAAATGTCATAAAGTTTTATAAAATTAAATTTTCCAATAATATTTCGTGTTCATTTGCGTGTTTATTACGGAATTAACCGATGTACACATTGAAAATGGATGTAGTTCCTTTAAAACTAAATGCACCACATTTTCAAGAATAGTATTTAGAAAAATTTTATAGAATATATTTGAATTTTGCATCACTGCCGGTAACTTTGACAGTCATGAACTAATGCAAATACGTCTTGTTTTTTTGAGATAACTCTATAGTTGTGGGTAGACTTGAAGAGAATGGCTGCATTTTGCTAAAATGCACCCTATTATTACCTCCGTAAATCCTCCCGAATGACGTAGCTGGCCAATCAGTGAATGGAATCGTGAGGCGAAAGCAGGTGGGCGNGGGGGGGGGGGGGGGGGGGGGCTGTGGTGAGTGTGACCGATGCAGGGGCTGATCAGTCTTTTGAGAAATGTGCTAGATCGGTTGACAGTTATCTGATTTACGTGACTCAATTATGAGGGGCCCGAATCTTACGTGACTCTCTTTTATTGTGGCCCAGTCAGAGTTGGCTGATCGATGCCGCCAAATCGGTTGATTTCTCATTCACCCTTCGAAGAATCGAAATTCAAAACTTCCAGGGGCCATGAGAGCTGCTGAGATTCTGCATGGTGTGCGACATCATAAAAAACTCAACCCTTTGTTGCATGGGCTAATCGTTGATTTTGCAGTGAAAATCTGCATTGTACAGTATTGTTTCGACAATACAGATAGTTGAAATCGATTTTTGTATTTTTTTTTTAAGTTAAGAGATCAGACTTAAAATGCTCCCCAAAAATCATTTCTTGATTTGATTAAATTTAATACTCCAGCATAGAAATAAATCTGAAAATCATGTGTTGCTTTCATGCAACGCTATGCAATAAAGGGTTAAATTCTTTCCTCCCCTCGTAAAGTTTTTGTAGGGATTTTCGATTTTGTAGTTACCATTTTTTAATTTTTTTTTATTAATTGTGAATTTTAGCCTCCAATCAACTCTACTACGCCATGCCTCTAGAATTGCCGAATAGTGAATCTACTAACACCATTTTATTCGCAGAGAAACGTGATAAATTATTAGCAACTAAATCTTTGGGGAATTCTTTCAACGTATTCTTTGGGGGTTACATTAAAAAACTCAAACTGAGGTTCAGAAAACAAACGGAATAAGTGCACTTTTCGGAAAAATTGAAACAGTATCGATTTCACCTTAAATAAAAATATATATCCTGTGAAAAATTCACTCATAAAGTTAAATTTTCAGACATCAAAAAGTTAGTTTGAACTTTCTTTTTGCCATGAAGGCTATGTAGTTTTCAAACTTGAAACACGTATTTTTCGAAATAGCAAAAACTGCACTCAACCTACTTGTCCTCCAAGCCCCCAAATTTTTCCTCTTCGATCCAACTTGATAGAAAAATTCACTCTCCTGAAAATTGCTTTGCGTAAACTAAGAGTCTTTTTCGATGGAAAAGCGGACCTTCAGGAATCGAAAACGCTTCGAACGTCCATATTTTTAGCGTATGAGCCCAGTTCACACGATGGAAAAAGGAACATCCATGCATATGTTAAATATTTCCACAAAAATTGCATAATTGTTTTTTCACCGGGCGTATTCCACCACCGAGGTACAAAAGCTAACACAGACATCTTGACCATCATGGCACCACCGTCCGACCGCGTCTATCTCCTCTGGTCTCTCCATCCTCTTGCCGCCGTCGCACTGTGGGTCCAGTCAATGGGAAAAGTCGGACACAATTTGGAAACTTTAGAAAACTTTAGACGCTTATAACTCCGTCCATACGAAGCTTTGAGGTTCTAAAAGTGGTTCCGTTGGTTTCCGAGTGAAAGTTTCTTCTGTGTGCACCCCTGGAAATTTAAAATGTGACGAAATTTACATCAAAATTTCCAGTTTAAGTCAAAAATTTCATGTCCGACCTCTCCAATTGACTCGATCCACTGTGCGCCGTCGGGAGAAAGAGCAAGA